TGCGGGGGACGAATTTACGTGATATTAAAAGTTCAGGGGCGTAGATTACGTCCCCCGCGTAATCTACGCCCCTGAATCAGATTATATTGTATAAGTGTGATTTGTATAGTAATGGACACGTGTGGGCATTTATCACAAGCACACGACTGTGAATTCGGTGACTAGTTAGTATGACTGAAGGCAGACACTGGCGGGTCTCCTGGGACGGTGTCCGTGGGGCTCGTCAATTATTGTCAGTCAGTTATCAGTGTTTCTCCCGTTATGCGGAGGTCTCAGCGGAGCAGGATCCCACAGTCTCCACGGCTCCTCAGCATTTAACCTGGGCCTTCTTTCATCAAAAGCATCCTGCCTGTTTTGTTTCCCAGCACCGCTGAGAGTTATTGCTCATGACAACAACTGCAGTTCTCTCTTTTCTCTTGCTCCCTCTCTCTCTCTCCACTCGCCACTTGCTGGGATTGCATTACCCTGTGATATTCTAGCACTCTCTATTAAATATGCATGAACCCCAGAGATGAAATTAATTTTGGGAATGCTCACTTTTGAATGTTCAAATATGCCTTCATCTGCCTTTGTATCAAACCTTGAATGTGTAATTTCATTTAGGATAGAGGCAGTAGATTAAAGCAGCACCGTTTGGCCAGTGATCAATGCAATGCTGAAAAAGAATCGCAACAAAAAATATCAATATCTGGGGATACTTTGGATGAAAAGTGGGGTTCAGTTGAAAGGCCTTAAGATGTTCAAATGACTGGAGTGAATTAAAGTACAAACGTGCTCCAAAAAATGAAAATTATGTTATCAATTAGTCACCCTCATCTCATTCCATAACTCATTTAAATCTGCATACATCCAAATATTGGCGCATTAAGATGGCACCGTTTCAACAAGGTGGTGATAGATCTCCTGCGGTATCTGGTACCATAATGTCAACAGCAGGACTCCAGTTCCTGTACGTTGCAGGATGGTGGTGATTGTAGTTTGAACCTGCTTTTCAAATGGTTAATATCAGGTGAATTTGGAGGCCAAGGCATTAACAGAAATTTACCATCATGTTCCTCGAACAGCTCCTTGACAATTCTGGCATTGTGGCATGGTGCATTATTCTGTTGGTAATGGCCATCACCGGCAAGGAACACAGTTGCCATGAATGGGTGCTCTTGGTCTGCAACAATGTTCAGATACCTGACAGCTGTCAGGGATTGTGCTTTTGGATAATGGGGACCAAGGTGTCCCAAGAAAACATCATCCACAGCATTACACCGCCATCGCCGGCCGCAATAGTGCATCCAGGTGTCATAGCCCCTGTTGGTAATCCGTGGTTGGTGTATTTGGTGTATCCGTGCTCGGCTGTTGACGTGATACACTAGGAATCTTGATTTGTCAGTCCAGGCCACTTTCTTTCAATCACCCACACTTCATGCGGTGTTGGCGATGGCGTGCAGTTAGCATGGGGACCCTGATGTTCATAATTTGGCCATCTTTGCATCACTTTTGATACGTAATATTTTTTTTTATTTTATTAATATTTTATAACATTTTGTTTCAGTTAACTTGATTGTATTTCAAGTAACGGAAGTGTTTTTATTGGTTTTAGTTTTAGTTAACTATAATATTAACTATATAGCTGCACCATATTTGAATCTACGCCTAAAATCCATGTCTAAAACTATTTAAAATTCCTTTTGATAATTGAAATAAAAAAAATCTAATAAAATATAAACATTAGATAAAAAAATTTTTAAAAAAAACTTTAAAATTGAGAAATGTTGCTTTGGCAACTAACTAAAAAAAATAAATACTCAAACTAAAACTGAAATAAAAATGAAACAAATAGAAATATATAAAATGGTAATAAAGATGGCAAATGTGCATGACAGAATTACTAAAACCTAAACTAGAATTAAAATGAGAAAAAAAAAGTTAAGTAAAGCTAATTTAAAATATTAATAACAACTTTTACTATACCTTAGTACTTTTTAGGTAACACTTTAGTATAGGAACCAACTCTCACTATTAACTAGTTGCTTATTAGCATGCCTATTATTAACATATTGACTGTTTATTAGTACTTATAAAACACATATTCTGTATAGCCGGGTTTCCATCCAAAGTTGCGAATTTAACTTATGCGCAAAATTGAACATTTCAACAAAATTGAACGCATAAAACATTTGCGAATAAGCACCGTTTCCATCCAACGAGTCAAAGAGAACAAAATCGTCACTTCCTGGTAGAACTGGCTCTAGGCTATATATCACTATGAAAAGTAGGAGAAACACCTGAATATAATAATTTTCATATATAAGGCCTATATAATAAATTACATGCGCCTCAGAGCGAGCAGATGAAACAAAATAAATGCGGTCATTGCTTTTGGAGGTGGATGCTGCTGCTTGGGAATGCAGTCGTGTAACAGTTCTGGGAAACAATTATACAGAAATACATTGATGAGAGACTTTGCTCGAACATTTCAAAATGACCATAACATTTCAGATTTCATTGGTCCACTGGTTAGGTTTTGATGCGCATGGAGGAATTTACTCGGCAAATGCGTTTCCATCTCCTTTTATTTGCATTAACCCGTTTTCGCAAAGTCAAAAACCACCTCAAGCGAGTGTAAAAACTTTTTTGTGAATTAAGGGATTTTTATTCGAAATATGCCGTTTCCGTCACTCGTTTCTGATGCGATACTTCAAAATGCGCATACAAACAGGGTGATGGAAACATAGCTTATGACCATATTCTACATCTCTAATCCTACCCAATGCCTAAACTTAACAAATACCTTGCTAACTATTCAAATAAAAAAATTAGGAGTTTCTTGAGGCAAAAGTCATAGTTAATGGTTTGTTAATAGCGAGAATTGGACACTTTTTTGTTGTTTTTAGAGCTCATCCGCATTCATGTTCATCACGCTGTTCACTTTCACTGTATTAAAAGAGCAGCTTGAACATTCGTCAAAATATCTCCTATTGTGTTCCACTGAGAAACAAAGTCACACTCTCTTGGGAAAACATAAGGGTGAGTAAATGATGATAGAACTTGCATTTCTGGGCAAACCAACCCTTAGATCATCCCCACATTCTGTCACAACCCTGTTGTCGTCGTCGTACGCTCCAGCTGTGAAGCTTCCCGTAAGTCCCACACTCACCAGAGCTGAGACCTAGCATAAAAGCAAAGTGTGCGATTGGTTCCACACACACATTCTCTCTAACTACATCTGCATAATTACATTCCGCAGCAGGGAAGTCTCTCTGGAGCCATATTGTTTGGAGACCAGTCAAATCCCCTCTCAGGCAGATAACCCAAAGGCTAACCACAGCTGATTCCAGAAAGGCGTATTTTTTAGCCTTTTCCCCTCAGAGTTATAATTGGAAATCCAGTTTACCATCTTTTTATCGATGGCGAGACTATGAGCCTGACTGCTACCTTGATTGGGGTGGGTCAATAACAGTTCGGCTTGGATGTGGCGGGTCGCTCGTAGGCGACCCCTCGGTTCTTATCAAGTAAAGTGGTTTTTGATTAGTGTTAATGGGGATTGGTAATGGCCTTTGGCTGTTACATGGACGGTCATGCTTCAAGTCAGGGTGCACAGTGGGAGTTGTTTGTTGTTGCGAATGCACACGCATAATTGCTTTTCTCAAGGGCACATAAGCCATGCATCGCTCTCCTATATTGTGTGCGTGCCGAGAAACTCATAAAGCCATTCGCAGTGTTTTGCAGCCAAGTTATTCGAGTAATGCTTTAATGTTTTGCGCTCACGTGCACCTGGGTGGTACAAACAAGGCCGGTTAAACTGCATGCGCTTTCTTTTCGCCCGCCACACTGAATTCATATCGAGCTTCGCCCTTGCATGCTAATGCATGCTTAATATTATTCTTATGAACTGCCAGTGACTTCATACGTTAGCCAGCACTCTGTCAAATTAATGTCAATTCCATTAATGGCGCTGTCCATTTTCTCACTCTCTCCCTTTCGCCACTCAAAGTTTCTCTCCCCAGCGCGCTCGCAGTGGGCCGTCGCCGCCGCTCTGCACAGATGAAAGACAGAGAGAAGAGAATTAACGTCCGGGGTCATTTATCAAGAATGGGACCCAAAAGTGCGGATGAAACTCTGACGATGAAAATCTGTCCTGAGAAATGTCACTGAGATATTAGGTTTAATATATCAAATCATGGGTCTTCCCAACAGTGCTGAGCCAACACCAGTTCACCGCCTCACGCTGTGCGTAAACACCGCGGCACGCCATCGGCTTCATCATCTTCAGGAAACGGTCAGCGTGCGAGAAACGCAAAAGGTGTCGTGATTGATGTCTGGTTTTGCATGCCATCATCTGTCCTACAATACAATTTGAGAATCTAAGCAAACTATCAGTTCACTATCTGCCACATGAGGGATGAGCTCTTTTTTAACGCTGCGTCTCTGTAGTAGTGATCAATGTTTCGCTTTAGAAACCAATGTGGCGAACAGCGAGCACATAAGCCATGCGTCGCTCTCCTATATTGTGTGTGCGCCGAAAAACTCATAAATCCATTTACGGTGTTTTGCAGCCAAGTTATCCGACTTACGCTATAATGTTTTGCACTCACGTGCACCTGGGAGGTACAAACAAGGCAGGTAAAACTGCATGCGCTTTCTTTTCACCCGCCGCACTGATGCATATAGAACTTCGCCCTTGCATGCTAATGCATGCTTAATATTATTCTTATGAACTGCCAGTGACTTCATACGTTAGCCAGCACTCTGTCAAATTAATGTCAATTCCATTAATGGCGCTGTCCATTTTCTCACTCTCTCCCTTTCGCCACTCAAAGTTTCTCTCCCCAGCGCGCTCGCAGTGGGCCGTCGCCGCCGCTCTGCACAGATGAAAGACAGAGAGAAGAGAATTAACGTCCGGGGTCATTTATCAAGAATGGGACCCAAAAGTGCGGATGAAACTCTGACGATGAAAATCTGTCCTGAGAAATGTCACTGAGATATTAGGTTTAATATATCAAATCATGGGTCTTCCCAACAGTGCTGAGCCAACACCAGTTCACCGCCTCACGCTGTGCGTAAACACCGCGGCACGCCATCGGCTTCATCATCTTCAGGAAACGGTCAGCGTGCGAGAAACGCAAAAGGTGTCGTGATTGATGTCTGGTTTTGCATGCCATCATCTGTCCTACAATACAATTTGAGAATCTAAGCAAACTATCAGTTCACTATCTGCCACATGAGGGATGAGCTCTTTTTTAACGCTGCGTCTCTGTAGTCGTGATCAATGTTTCGCTTTAGAAACCAATGTGGCGAACAGCAGCTGTGATTGTTGAGAAGACAATGCTAGTTTTGATGAATGCTGCTCACCTGCATTCTGCACAACCTCACAGTTCATGCTGGATTTGAAATCTAAATTGATCAACAAGGTGTGAGAGAGTTGAGGCTGGAATACTCAGTTTTTTTTTTTTCTCAGATTTTTGCATGGATTTATAGTCTGGAGTGGTTTGACGATAGATGTCGAAAGTCAGAGCCAGACTGCAAATCTGACAGTTGACAGATTTTGTAGAAAATCGTGTAGCGTATGATGGGCAAAGACTCCCAATTTATTATATAACACTATAATAACATACTAATATACTAATATAGCACTTGCATATTACTGCTCTTTTGTTGGTTTTGATTGATCCTCGTTTGTAAGTTGCTTTGGACAAAAGCGTCTGCTAAATAACAAAATGTAAATATAATGTAAATGTAAATAACAAAACTACATTGAAATTTTAAAACAAGCCCCAAATCAAATAAATAAGTAACACAAATAAAATAAATCTCTTCATATAAACAAACTAAGGCTTTGTCTGTGCTCTTTCCATTTACGTCTCTTCTGCTCACCAAGAAAAATTCAGTAAAAACCGTAATACTGTGAAATATTATTGCAATTTAAAATTACTTTTCTATTTGAATATATTTTAAAATATAATATATTCCTGTGATGCAAAGCTGAAGCTTTCAGCATCATTACTCCAGTCTTTAGAGTCACGTGATCCTTCAGAAATGTTTATAATATGCTGATTTGCTGCTCAATTATTAGTTCTTGTTATTATCATATAAAAAAAAAATAGTTGTGCTGCTTAATATTTTGTGACATTATTGTCACTTTTAAGCAAATGAATGAGTCCTTGCTCAATAAAAGGGGTTTTACTGACCCCAAACCTTTGAATGGAAGCTTAGGTGAAAGTCTCATAGGCACTGTAACATAAAAGGCCTCAAAGATAAAATCAAATCAAAATAGACCCTATTAGGATTGTTACAAAAAAAAAAAAAATATATATATATATATATATGGTCTTATTGTGCATGATACATTATTTGTACACTGTAAAATGATTTTTCTAAATTGTAAATACAACAGAGATTTTCGGAGTATGTTGTACAAGAAAATACTATTTCAGTCTTTCTTTTTCAAAATTTCAGCTTTAATTCAATGTGTTCCTTGCTGTTTCTGTCTTAATTATTTGTTAAATGTATTAGCAATTGTCAATTCTGTAGCAAAAAAAAAAAATCAAACTGTAAAACTGAAACTAACATAACAATTAACAATCTATTTAAATCTTTGATGGATAATCACATTTCACCCTTGCTGATTTTGTGATATAAATGCGTAATCAAACATTGATGTATGTGTGTTTATTGCAGTTGCCTCTGGACTTGTCTCCGCTTGCGACTCCTGTTGTTCGAAACAAAATAGAGGAGCACACACCCATTGAGTCCCACCGAGACAGTCCACTTCCCCACCCTGAGTCGACCACCACTGATGACAAGGTGAGACACAGGGCTCTGCCGTACAGAGAGCTACATAAACACTTGCAGTTATGGGTAGGACTTATTTTCGGTCCTCTGTGTGTGATAGTTACTTAGTGCTGGAAGTAGGGTTTTTCATGCAAGAGTAACTAGAATCAATTTAGGGAAATTGCACCCTGGAGGATCCTAGGCTCATATTGTGCAGAATTGTGTTGCCAATAACTCTTGGTTGCTGGGTCTTCCCTACCTGGATTGAACGTATAACCTTTGCGTTAGCAGTCCAGATTCATGAGGCTGCCTTCTCCCCTCATTCAACACATGAAAGGTGTTTGATGCTTGGTTTAGCTACTGAGTTTCAGATGAAAATACATTTCTTCATAGAGATACAAAAAAAAAACTAAATCAGTGGTAAACATTGTTTTTTGTAGCTCTATGAAGAAATCTCTCTGTCGGCCAGATTGTGTGAGACAGATGAGACTTCTCTCATAAGTCAGCAAATATGCTGATTCTGACTTTAAGATTGAAGCTGTAACAGCTCTAATGGATAAACATTCACTTTGAGCACTTTATGATCGATAGAAGCATGATTTGTTTACTCAACGTCTCTAAATGTGAACTCTCAAAATGCTGAAAATATTCATATTTCTTAATTACAGTAGTTACTCTACTGTTCAAATGTTTGGGGTCAGTAAGTTTTTTTTTTTATATAAATAAAATTAATAAATTGATAAATAAACTGTAAGTTTTGATCAATAAATTGTTAAAATTGTAACAAAAATAAACACTGTTCTTTTGAACTTTCTATTCGTCAAAGAATCCTGAAAAAGCGCATCACATTTTCCACAAAAAAATATTAAGCAGCACAGCTGTTTTCAACATTGACAATAGTAGGAGATGTTTCTTGAGCAGCAAATCAGCATATTATTATGATTTCTGAAGGATCATGTGACACTGAAGACTGCAGTAATGATGCAGAAAATTCAGCTTTACCATCACAGGAATAAATTAAATATTAAAATAAATTTTTTTTTTTTAAAAATGCAAATAAATATCAAATAAATGCAGCCTTGGAAAGCACTTTAAAAAATGTAAAAACATAAAAAAAAATTTTTTTTTAAAAATTAAAAAATCTCACCTACTCTCAAACATTTGATTGCAGTAAAGTAATTTTTTTGAAGACACTGTCATCCATCAACTGTAAGGCACAACAAATCGCAGTCTCTTAATTCATAGGTGAACAATGTATGTGCTCCCTGTGGCTACTAACACAATCAGAAACAGTATGAGATCAGTAATGGACAGTGTAGTTTTGTGTGAGCGCTTGATGCAGCTTGGCTCTCGTGTGGTGTTTTCAGGAGGTTTCTTTGCAGCCGACCTCTCTGCCTCCATCCACTATAGTCCGTCCTGCCTCCCTCCAAGTCCCCAATGTACTACTGGCCAGCAATGAGGCTGGTGTTGTTATTCAGCAAGCTCTCCCATCTCCGACATCTAGCTCTGTTATAACCCAGGTCCCATCCTCTTGTAGACCGATAGTGTAAGTAACTTCTAAACGTGACTTATTCTGCTTCTCTCTTAGTTTGCCATCATTTTCTCCTTTTTACGCCTCATTCGGTGTTTCGTTTTCGTCACTCATTTACTTTATAAATGTTTGATTTAGTTTCAGTTGCTTGTGATCCATGTGCCTTTACTTTTACATCATAGAATTGACAAGTGCTCGGCCATCAGACAGGTTTTGTTTGATCCTTTTGTTTTGTTTCACACATCAATTGAAGAGAAAATTCTTGCTGTTGTTTTATGTTAATTTTTTTATCACTATCACAAGTCAACATGAATACACAACGATTGACACTGTTTGCTTTTTTAATACACATTTTTTTTGCACGATTCATCACAAAGGAAAACCTTTGCCTTTGTAATATGTAATTAAAATGTAATAACTTGCTCTGCCCTGAAACAGCTTTCTTTATCGTGACGTAACTTAATATTACCCTTGTTAATTTTAACCAAAAGCCAAATAGCTGTTGCCATTTTTTTTAGTTACTGTTGTAGGCAATGCTGCCTTTTTTTATGCTATTTATAGTAGTATAGTAATTTCATGTTAATATGAAGTAAATTAAAGTTGCAGTAGCAAATAACAATACATTTTAAAAATAAGCATTGTGAATGTGATTGACTCTTATTCAGCGCTGACTTTACTATTTAATTAATTCCTGATGGATAAATTTATGTCCCGTCCTATTTCCCCTCATTAAAAAATGTCACATTACGAAGGTAAAGTACTGTGCAATTGCTGTTTCATGTTGACTTTAAAGCATGATGCTATACTACATCTACATGATGCTATACTAGATCTATACTACAGTTATGTTAATCCTATGTTTGGTATGCATTTTGTTTCTGTTTCCCCCATCTCTCTGTCTGTCTTCAGTCCGGTGTCCGGCACGTTTCCGGTTCTGCTGCAGCTGCCTAACGGTCAGACGATGCCAGTCGCCTTTCCAGCCACCATCGCCAGCTCCAGCGTGCACATACCCACTGCCATTCCTGTGAGTGTCCCACACGCACTCCTCTCTCTCTAGTGTGTAGAGAAAGCTCCTGGGCAATGAGTTTACATCATTAACGGGACAGTTCATGCAAAAATGAAAATTCTGTCATTAATTACTCACCCTCATATCGTTCCAAACCCCTAAGACCATCGTTCACCTTCAGAACACAAATTAAGATATTTTTGATGAAATCCCAGAGCTTTCTGATCCTGCATAGACAGCAATACAACTAACACGTTCAAGGCCCAGAAAGGTTGTAAGGACATTGTTAAAATAGTCCATGTGACATCAGTATGACATGTGACAAAAGTATGCTTATGCTATTTTTCTTTCAAATAAATGGTTTGCAGTAACGGTGACACATTTTAAGGGTGACTTAAGTGCAAATACTTTGTTGTATAAGGTTGAATATAAATGTCTCAGTGTACATGGCATGTGTTGACCATCAGTGTTCAATTTTCTACAGTTTGGATGTTAACTATAACATTTGATTGGGTGATTGGATAGTTACAGACTTTAGTTGTCCTTGTCCAATTTAAGAAAAAGTAGTGTAAAATAAAATCATAAAGTATATGGCAATATTCAGTGCAACAATAAAATACAAAGCCATCGAATCAACAGGAAACCTGCATTCCTGTACTCTTGAACCCAATCAATAACTGTTAGGGATGTAACGATTCACTCACGATACGATTCGATTCGATTCACGGTTTTGATTTCACGATTCGATTCGATTCATGATTATTATAATTTTTTTTAACAAAATTAGATTTAAGACAAATTATAAATTAAATGTGTCCTTTTATTATTGCTTGGACAAAATGCTGCACATTTCTTTGTGAAATTGAAATATAACACTATAATAATATACTAATATAGCACTTGCATATTACTGCTCTTTTGTTGGTTTTGATTGCTTCTGTTGTCCTCATTTGTAAGTCGCTTTGGACAAAAGCGTTTGCTAAATGACAAAATTTAAATATAATGTAAATAACAAAACTAAATTGAAATTTTAAAACAAGCCCCAAATCAAATAAATAAGTAGCACAAATAAAATAAATCTCTTCATATAAACAAACTAAGGCTTTGTCTGTGCTCTTTCCATTTAAAATTAGAGGCAGCCGCTGCATTTTAATCTTGATCCAAACAAAGATGCTGCATACATGCAACATGAGCAGTTTTTAAACTAAATTAGATTGTATAATTTTGAAATTTGAAGCAAAAACAGAATGGTTTGACTTCAGTTTTATGAAACTATACATAAAAATATCTGCATGAAACAGCAGACGAGCTGAATGAGACGCAGATTCACTCTCTGCCAGCAGGTGGCGCTTAAAGCTTTTCCTGGTTTCCGCTGTAAACAAAGCAGCGCTGAACTTATGAACTTTAATATGCGTTATACAGAGGCAAGATGAAAAGAAAAAATACCATCTAAACTTTTCTAAAGACAGTAAGTTCCCCTCAGACATACATTCATATAAACTCCTACACCTAAATGAATCGCGATTTGTTTAGCATCTCAACCGATTTGAATCGTCACATATTTGAATCGATTTTCAACCGGCTCACGGTTAATCGTTACATCCCTACTTCAGACTATAGCTATGTTTCCGTCACCCTGTTTTTATGCGCAGTTTGAAGTGTCGCATCAGAATCAAGTGATGGGAATGCCAAATTTCGAAAGAAAAAAAGAATCCATTCACAAAAAAAGTTTTTACACTCGCTTGAGGTGGTTTTTGACTTTAATGCGAATAATTGGAGATGGAAACGCATTTGCCAAACAAATTCCTCCATGCGCCTCAAAAAAGTCATGTGACTTTGTGCAATGGGACGGGATAACTTGACTAACCCGTGGGCCGATCTTGTTGCACAGCATCTGAAATGTTGTTAGCAAAGTCTGTCGTCAAAGTATTTCGGTGTAATTGCCTCTCAGAACTAACTGTCTTACATGACTGCATTCTCAAACAGCAATGACCGCATTTATTGTGTTTCGTCTGCTTGCTCTAAGGCGCAAGTAATTTATTACATATGAAAATGATTATATTCAGTGGCTTCTCCTACTTTTCTTAGTGATATTTAGTGGCAGTTTATCAGGAAGTGACCATTTTGTTCTCTTTGACTCGTTGGATGGAAACGTTGCTTTATTCGCAAGTGTTTTATGCGATATTCCAATTTTGCACATAAGTTAACTTCGCAACTTTGCATAGAATGACAGCACTTTCTTAATATTAATCAAACAGCAACAACAAGGAAATCACTCACTGCTCTTGATTGAATAGCTTTTGTAACTTTAATAAAGATTAATCTTTAATTTATACAGTCAAATATACAATGCTGTTTTACATTTCATTAGTTTTCAGGTACAGAAATTGAATAAAGTAATGTTAGACATACCTAAAAAAAACCTGAAAATCACTGTTTATTTTATTTGTATCTTTACTCTATTGTATTTATTTGTGCTGTTGCTTGTAGTTAGATAGATTATTCTTATTTTCTTTATTTTTATTTCCCAGTATATGTTTTGCCTAAACATAGCACATACCGAACCGTACCGAAACCGTGACTCTAAAACCGTGATGCAAACCGAACCGTAAGTAAGTTGAACCGTTCCACCCCTACTCACCACTGATGGTTAAGGTTGGAGTTTTTGACCGTCTTGCTTAATTTTTTTTTATAAATATCATATGTTTTTGTATGAATCAAAACGCATACATTTTTTAAAAATTGCCACCTTGTAAAATAGTTTTCTTTAGTTATCTTTTTTTTTATTACAAATCAACCGTTTGGAAGTGCCTGTATTTAAAGAAATATCATTAAAGGAAGAGGGCCAGGAGGGCATGGGTTCATGTTGGGAGTTAATGAATTTATGACTGTTAAGTTAAAAAACAAATTACGGCTATTATTCCAAATTAGAAAACCACTATAATAGGTTTTATATTTGTTATGCAATTACCTTTCAAAGAAATCTTGCTTCTATCGTCTTCCTGCTAATCTTGCTTAGAAAAATAGCAAAACATTTAATTTTGACCAATAAAAATGATGCCATGGCACATAAAAATCTAAACTACTGGCTCCCCTGGGCCAGCAAAAAATAAAATAAAATAAAGTCTATAAACTGAGCCCAGCTGATGAATATGAAAAGCATTGTTCCTTTTCTTCTCTGTTTCAGCAAGTGCTGGAGAGCAGATCAGTAATAAGGCTCTTGATACCATCTCCAATAACAGACGAGAAAACAGTGAAGCGTACGGCCCTTAATCAATGAAACATCCAGCGTCAGATACTGTACAGCACAGTACAGTAGAGATTTGTTCAATCTGCCTGCGAGAAAGCTTCAAAAAGTCCCACATTCATCATTCACGTTTTATCGAGCTGCAAAAGCTGGAACATTACGCCAGTTTATTTCTTCATGGATTTATTCAGTCATAAATATTCATCCTCCACATGTGTCACGCACACACACACTCATGATTTATCTGAAAGAGAAATATTGCTTTTCTAATATTACACACCGAGATTTATTGTCTCGCATTACCATTGTTATCGCAGTGGCTTTCAAGTAATCTATTTTTACCACTCTGGGCGTTCACTGTTTACTGCACAGGAATATCATTCGGGATCATACTTCTTTCTCCAGAAATCCATATAAGTGTGGAATCAAAGGCAGAAATCTGCAGCACAAAGCATTCACAGTGCCTGAATTAAGCGTCTCTTTAATGGAAATGCTCTATTTTCCAGAGCATTAGAATGATCCAGGCCTGGAGTATAATTGGAGCGCTGTGTTTCAGAGGAGTGATGTATGAAATGAAGTTCAAGTCGGGCAAGTCCCCGAGGCTGGGCTTGATACGGAGCCTCAAACGAGCCGTCCATCCATTGGGCTCAATCAGTCCGATCAGATCAGATTCTGATTTAAGACGGAAGGAAATAACAAGGGAGAAATGAAATGGTAATTACTATTGATTACCTATGTGCATATGACCCCACAGGCCTTGCTTTGCATACTTAAATCAACTTAAATAATTGGATTTGCTCATTTTTTGTACATGTAAGCAAGTGTGTGTGTGCGGCTATGAAATACGTCCAAGAATAAAAAAAGTGACTGACAAACGATGCAGCCTGACCCTTGTGATGCATTCGTTTAAGCGTGAACTGGTTTTATTTGTGAAGTTTGCTGCATTGGTCGTTGCTCTGCACTTGATTTTGCTTTAGCAAACAGGAGGTTGTGATTCTGAATTGTCTGGGGAATCATTTATTATGTGATACTTATTTACAAACAATACTGCATATATTTATGCTGTGAGTACACAGGTGGTATAATGAAAATCAGGAGGCAAGAAGCAGTTGTGTGTGTGTGTGTGTGTGTGTGTGTGACAGATGCATGGCTGACCATGCTGCAGAACACGTGCTCAAAGCTTTAGTGTGATGATGCACTGCTGCCCCCTACTGGATCAGCAGCCAATCACATCACTGTAGCACGCAATACAGACTTTATAAAACATTTGACTAAATCTGAGTTTTGCATATAAGTGATTGTGTTTAGATAATAGTTTAAAAATAAATACTGAATGCTGAAAAAAAATTGAATTCTTTTACAAATGAAACTTAGGTGGTGGTCACTTTCATTGAACCGATTCATTCATGGCTGCATCTGAAATCACATACTTCCCTAATATATAGTAAGTGAATAAAAACCGTATGTGGAAAGAACAGTATGTCCAGATTTACTGTATTCCCAAAATGTAGGTAAAGTACCCAGATTGCTTACTACTGGTGGGTTGTGAAGTGCATATCTGAAGGACACTTTTCTCACGCTTTGTTGAAGTTCTGTCGAGCAGAATGATCTGTGACAGTAATGGAGAAGCTAAAGCCAATGGTTTAGTCCATTATACTGCACTTAAGGCTGCTGAGAGGCAGTTAGGAAAATGGTGTGCTGCTAAATGACTGTCTAGTGTCTATATATGCCATGAGGCCAAATGAGGAAAACACACGAAGCAAAATGCCAATCCTGTCCCATCAAAAAAAAAAAAAAAAAAGGATTACAGTCATCATGGCAAAAACTTGCCTCACAACTTGGGCCGTGAGGAGCTGTGCTCTCTATTTTCTGTGTTCAGATGTGTCTACAGTGTAAATGATGAAGAACAGCCAGAGCATGGGTCATAGTTTTGTATCAAATTCCTCGCTTGATACCAGTAACAAATGGCTATATTGTCAGTAACCAGCCATTTAAGGTCACTTTCTTCCAGAGTGTGGAACAAAAAAAAAAAAAAAAAAAGGAAAGGAAAGGGAAACCCAGACATGTCACTTCCTGTCAGAAAAGAACAAGACCAGGCAGAGCCCAGTGAGAGCAGCTCTGATGCATCAGCTCCAACATGCCACTTACTGTCAGAGAGCAGGATGAAACTAACGCTTTAGTGTGTATTTAGACAGTGAAATAACTCTTTCTTGGTGGAAAAACAATAACAAAACGCTTATCCCATCCCTGTTGCGAAGAAAATAATAATAAAATAACCTGATGCAAAACCCCCAACCCCTTAAAAATAATAATAGTAATAATATAAAACAAGAAAAAATGAATTTGTGTGTGCAGCAATTTAAAACTATTCACTTATCTTTCTAATATCCCTTAGTCTTCTAAATGTTTAAAAAGTTATAATTTGTAAAGTGATTCAGCAGGTTCAGAGTGAGTGTGTGTATTATTTTGAATGTTTTTATCTGAAAATTATTTATTGCATAATTAATAATTGTAAGTTATTTATTTAAAGTTATTATTATTATTATTATTTTGTCTTTACGTGAATGATGAATATATACTAATTATTTATATTTTACAGCTGATGGGACATATTTCACAGAAAGTTGCATGCATACGTCATTCACAAAAAAATCAATATTTTCAATACTGAAATAAAACTAATGGTATTAATAAATGACTTTATTATTATTATAGTTATATATTATTATTATTATATTATAAAGTCACTTTTGCCACAAGCACTTGTTGATTTCTCGTCTTGCTGTCAGCCTCCATCCATCCATCCATCCATCCATCCATCCATCAATCCATCCATCCATCCATCCATCCATCCGTCAATCCATACATCCATCAATCCATACATCCATCAATCAATCAATCCATCCATCCATACATCCATCAATCCATCCATCCATCAATCAATCAATCAATCAATCCATCCAT